TAATTTTGAGAAGGACATACAAAGAAACACAAACTAGAAATGTGTCTACAGGAAACGGGTGCCTCCACACTCCTCCGATTTGTCAATCTTATGTCTCTAGGTCAATTTATTTTTTAGGCTACATGTGCCCAAGTTGAAAACTAAAAATCTTTTATTAAGTAAAACATGTAAAAGGCAAATACTACAAATACCGAATAAACCCACAAACCCACAAGAATATCCCAAGGTGCACAAGTACACATGCTGACCAACATTCTTGTAAACTTTCAGGCCTACATGTCATAATATTTTAAGTTACGTGCAACACTAGTTAAATATTGTAAATTTTACTAAGTCAAGGACAAAAAAGCTCCAAAGAATTTGTTACTAAAATGTTCTCACGATAATACCCAGGTGCAGAACTACACATGCTAAGCGACATTCTTGTAAGGTTTCATGACTGTAGGTCAAATACTTTTTAGTAACGTGCGGCACAAGTTGAAAATTGAAAATTTTTACTTATTCAAGGGCAATAACTCGAAAAATACTAAATATATCCAAACATTAAAATCTAGGTGCACAACTACATATGCTGATCAACATTCCTGTAAAGTTCCATGACTCTAGGTCAATTTTTTTTTTCAATGACGTGCGACACAAGTTAAAAATTGGAATTTTTTACTAAATCAAGTGCAATAACTCTACAAATACTAAAAATATCCGCATAAAAATAACCAGGTGCACAACTTCACATGCTGACCAACAATATTTTAAGGCTTCATGACTCTAGCTCAAATACATTTTTAGTTACGCGCGTCGCAAATAGAATATTGAAAATTTTTACTAAGTCAAGGACAATAACTCTAAAAATACTAATTATATCCACACGAAAATACCAAGGTGCACAACTACACATGCTGAGCAACATTTTTGTAAGGTTTCATGACTCTAAGTCAAAAACGTTTTAGTTACGTGCGACACAAGTTGAAAATTGGAATTTGTTTACTAATTCAAGGGCCATAACTCTAAAAATACTAAATATATCCACACAAAAAAAACCAGGTGCACAACTACACATGCTGATCAACATTCCAATAAGGTCTAATGACTTTAGGTCAAATATCTTTTAAACTACGTGCCATACAAGTTGAAAACTGGAAATTTTTACTAAGTCAAGGGCAATAACTCTAAAAATATTAAATATATCCACCTATAAATCCCAGGTGCAAAAACATCACATGCTGATCAACATTTCTGTAAGGTTTTATGACTCTAGGTCAATGACTTTTTGAGCTATATTCGACACAAAAAGGGAACTGGCGGACGGCGGAAGAACAGACGGACAAGGGTAAATCTAAATCCCCCCCTGAAAATAACCTTCGGTCAACAGAAAATCAAAACTTTAAATCTAAATACTCAGAATGTTAGACTTTTATGTGAAAGTAAACATCAATACTCACTCTGGTAGAAGAAAACGTTCAATTGACAATACCTTCATATCAATGATTGATACAGATTCAAATAGAATAATGTATAAAGATGTTATATTACTTCATGTAGGCACAAATAATATATATGATACAGATTCTAGTCAGTACATAGTTGATGAGCTGAAGGAAACCATACACACTGTAAAAACCATCAACTCAAAATGTAAAATAATCATTTCTTCAATTCTACCTAGAAGAATTGACAAACTTGTCAACACCATCATCTCTGAAACCAAAAACCGGTTCGGAGGTCTGTGTACAGATGGTGGTCACCACTTTCTCAACAATGACTCTAAATTTATCCAGCATGGTACTCCAGACATATCACTGTGTAAAACTATTTACATCTATTAGTAAATAGAAAGGATGGATAGCTGAGGAATCAAAGTTATTGGGATCGCCGTCGTTAAATATTTATGACAATAATTCATTTCAATATGGACAAGCCAATGTTTATAAGACTAGTGAAATTGTAAATGACAATACTTTAAACTGTGACTCCAATAAGAATAGTAACTATTGGTACACTCATAAAGGGTTGAACATACTACATCTTAACATCCACTGTCTGTACCCAAAATAAGACAAACTCAAAATTATAATTTCAGAACAAAAGATTGATATTCTCTATTTATGTGAAACTTTTCTAAATGTTAATTTTCTAGACATTGAACAACAGTTTGACAATTTAACACTTTTTCGTAAGGATAGTCCTTCCAGTGGAGGCAATTTAGTTGTTTATGTTAAAGGCTGTTCATCTTTTGTACATATATCTTGATTAAGAAAGTATTTCAATTGAATCCATTTGGCTGGAAATTAAACAGCCTAAATGTAAATCGTCATTATTGTGTTATGTATACTGACCACCATCTACTAAAGTTTAGTGGCTTAATAATTTTGCTATATCTTTAGAAAAATCATATTTTGAGGACAAAGAATGTATTGTTACTGGACATTTTAACTATGATATTTTGAAGCATGATAATTGTTCTAAATCTTGGTTAGATCAAATGCAGTCTGTCAATTTTTCCCAGCTTGTTGAATCTCCTACCAGATTAACTTCAAGTTCTGCAACAACGATAGATCATGCATTTTCAAACATGCCTCAAATTGGTTTTTGTACCTTCCTTCTCCAGTAGTGACCGTTTTCACATTTGTCTTACACGCAAACTTTCAAACATCAGTGTTAAAGGTCCCATGCATAAGACTATAACCTTTCGGTCCCTAAAACACTTTGATGAAAATCGCTTTTTTACCGAATTGTCAAAGCAATCATGGTCAAAAGTAGTATCCGTAGAAAATCAAGATAACTATCGATTTGTTCAATGATACATTTTTGTCTGTCTTTAAAAAACATGCATGAAAAATAAACCGAGTTGAGAAGGTCAGCCAACCAAACTGTGTTAATAAAAACATCCTCGATGCTATCAAAACAAAACACCAGTTTCAAAGAGTTAATGACACATATAATTTCAACATATGGAAGCAACACGTTAAGTATCTCATATATAATTCTAAGCGACAAGATTACAATATTATAATGATACCATCACTCGAAACAAACACAACTCAAAGAAATTATTGACTGGTCTAAATGAATTATCTGGTTACAAATCCAAGGTTAATGATGACGATGGCAACCCTGTTACTGACCCTTTTATCGCTGCAAATTTATTCCACACACAATTTGCGAATCTCCACTAATTCCATCATGCAAGTAATCAGACTGGTTATGAAAATCCTGAGCTCATTAAACTAGTGCATCTAAACTTAACCCCCTTCCAAAATACCTAAAATACAGCTCACACACGTGTTGAACCAATTAAACTTAATCGATATTACAAAGTCATGTGGGTCATGATCAGATAGAGCAAGGTTTCTAAAATTATCGGCAATCATTATTGCTACCATACTTACCACTATATTCAATAATAACATTCTAAAAATGATTTCCTCAATCGTTCTAAAATTTAATTCCTATGCATAAAAAGAGGTTTAAAAGTGATAAAAGAAATTATAGGCCAACTTAATACTTCCCATGATATCACTTATTCTTGAACGTCATGTCAGTTCACATTTAAAGCAACACTTTGAGGAAAATCTACTTCTATACCAACTACTGGAGTTTCTCAGGGCTCAGTGCTAGGTCTTCTACTGTTTTTAATCAAAAGCAATGATCTATTGAAAAAGCAGAAACTGATACTTTTGCTGAAAACACCACCCTTTTAACCTCTGAAATATTGCTTAACAAAGTAGTTGAATCTCTTACTCATGATCTTTTACATGCCAGCAAATGGAATGTTGTGATTTGAATCACATGTGTATCAATGCTTACAAAACTAAGATCATGTATATTTTTCTCAAAACACACGCATAAAACAGAGCAAATCGGTGTAGTTCTGAAGAAATATTATTGGGTATTACAATTAATAACACATTGTCTTCGCAAAGCCATATTGATAACGTTCTTAAAAATGCAACTCATTGTTACATTTATAATTTCGTATAATTTATAAAATATATTCATAATTATACCTGAACGTTATATGTTTTACAATGCATATATTTTACCACATCTTGACTATTGTTGCATAATTTACAGTAACGGTACGGTACAGAAGATAAACTTATTACGTTCCAAAGAGAGCTTCAAGACTAATTCTAGGCAATGATTATGACACTACATCTGCTTAACAATTTTCTGAACTCCGCTGGATGACCTTTTCCCAGAGGGTTGTTTTTCGTAAAGGTATTATGATGTTTAAGATAATGAATAATCAGGCGCCTTCCTATTTATTGGATAATGTCATTTTATTGTCAGATGTTAACACTTGCATTTTGAGTTCATCATCTGACTTTACAACTTTACACCCCTAGACAAAATACTGAACAATTTTGTAAGTCTTTTGTTTATTCTGAATCTTGTGTTTGGAACGGCCTTCCTGATTATTTCAAGTCTGTTTCATCTGTGAACCATTTTAAAAACTTAAACTTGAGATATTATCACACATCAATGTATACAAATTGATAATCTCATGTATATTTTTACATTTATTATTTTAAAAGTTTGAGTATGTTAAATTTAGATTATTCCTTGTTGAGGGCCTCATGGGCGAGTGATAATTTTCATAACATCATATTATACTCACATCAACATCGTCATCATAATCATATCAACATCGCCATCATCATATCAACATCATCATCATATCAAGTACATCATCATCGTATAAACATCATCATCATCATTTTAACATTATAATCTCCATATCAACATCATTATTATCATATTCACATCATAATCATCACCACCATATCATCATTATATTATCTCATCATCATCATCATATCAGCATAATCATATCAACATCGTCGTCATCATATCAATATCATCATCATCAACATATCAATATTCACATAATCATATCAACATTGTCATCATTATATTAACATCGTCATCATCATATCAGCATCATCATCATCATCATAAACTCCGAAATCATCAGCGTTGCAATCAAAACAAAACCCGAAAAGGTTTATAATGAACCAGCATTTTATTTTTGTTAAAAAATTACAAATTTTTAATTACACAAGACATATTTATTACAAAAAAACATTAAAACGTCATTGATTCGAATTTATTTTAAAAAAGGCTTCTTTTACCGTTAACTTTCCTTTTGCCAAGTTGATGTGGCAATATATCTTTATGTAAATCTATAAAATTTATCAAAAGAAAAAACAGTTATAGACATATGTAAGGAAGCGTATGCTAAATGTGTTAGTGATACAAAAATGTGAATGCACGAGATTATGAAAAAGAAAGTATAATAGTTACATTATTTATATTCCGTTAATTGTTATTATCCTTTTTTATTTTATTTTATTTTTTTTTGGATTGATTTTGTAAACAAAATTCAATTCAAATTTATTAGTCTATTTGACACTGAACAAACTGGAAAACTTTGTTAATGCGTTGTACGTGTACATAGTGACAGATATATAGTATTTAAAAATTATGTGAAATACACAAAAAGGATGATGCTTATAAGAAAATATTCGTTTCACATGACGAGCAAAAGTCAATGCGTTAAAAACGCATTCAAATTATGCACTTAAATGTATGGCACGTTTATTGTTTTTGTTGAAGTTGATCGTATGCGGGTGGCTGTTGCCATTGCTGCACCGTTCCTGGGGCGACGTTTGACGTCATTACCGGATACTGGATTCCGCCATTATATCCCACCTGACCATATCCCGCCATGCCTTGCATTTGAACTTAAAAATAACAATAGTGACAAAAATAAAAATGTATGCAATTATTTCTATTCTAATTCAATACATTTCTTGCAAATAAAATGATATGACGTCAATCTTATGCCTATAGAAAATATAGATAATGGTATCTGTAATTTCAATAAGTTGTCCAATAAATGATAATGTCAGACAACAAGTCTGTGAACAATTTCTTAATCTTAGTTCCGCATTTTGTAACAAGGTTATTTCTTTCCTATGAAAACCGAGGAGGAAAAGCTGCACACAATGTTTCGAACTTAGTTATATTGAATATTGTATCTTCAGCAATTTGATATGTTTCTGTATAATTATGAGTCTCAGAGTCAAAAGGAAAATAGTAGTATGACTGATTGATGAAATCGTTTTCATAGATTATTACATGTATATGCATGTACTGCAAAACATTCTAACACTCCTGTGATTTTGATACTATACACAAAGAAGAAAATACTGGTGTTAAACTGCCAATAAACACTGGTTACGGATTATATGTTTATGTGTATATTATTTTTTCACCCTTGATATACCTGTTGTATGAGCCCCAGTAGTCGGTTGGCAGACTTGTCCAGCTCGTCCCCTAGACTTCCGGCAACAACAGAATACAGCCACAAGGATAGACACAATAGCGGCAACCAGGGCTAATGAGCCTATAACAATGCCAACGATCATGCCAGTACGTCTGAACAATAGAATTTGTAAATTCTTCATTGATTGATAAAATAATGATGAAAACGGACATGATGATTTGTAACGGGAAAAAACACACAGGTGGCAGTATCAGTGTTTGGGCAACCAACCCCTATCTGCCCCTGGACGCCTACTACAACCCTGAAAAAGGCCTACTATAAGGTACCAAACACAAAACCACCGATAAAATTATAAAAAGAAATCCACTATTAAAATTATGGTTATAGAAAGGTGAAAAGCCTACTACATGTTCATTTGCCAAACAATGTGGAACACAGAAAATCGTTGTTTCGGCGACTGGGTCCAATCAGATCGCGTATATCACACAGGTTTCAGAATCCAAAATGGCAACGACAAGTAAAAAAATACCGTGAAACAGAAAAAAAATGGAATGATATTGATATTCGTTAGACTTGAATTAAGTAAGCTGTGGAATTCTAGTTCTTTTGATTGATGTTAATGAATGATGCTGCGAAATTAACGCGTAATGCGTTTGCGACCAGCATCCGCGCAGTCTGATCAGGATCCATGCTGTTCGCTGACAAACCCTATTACAAGTAGAGAAACTGATAACGAACAGCATGGATCCTGATCAGATTGCTGGTCGCAAACCAACTTCATGTATGTTGGTTTTGTCGTGACGCGGCTCATATAAGTTTCACTGTACACAATAAGGTTGAATGTACACCTTACCAAAAATATTACGTCAGTACATTTATAATCAAAATTAAGCGCCGGTACAAAAAGGAAAAATAGAAGAACAGCTTACCAAAGAGTACTCAGTATAATTTAGATGTTTAAATTACGCACCGATACGAAAAGAAAAAAAAGTCTGTTCATCTTACCCATTTAAACAGCAGTATTGGTCATAGGAGTTCCCACAACACCCATCTTCACAATAAATTGTGTCTGTGCTGTCAAACAAGTCATCGGTGTATTCCGTACACCATTCTCCAGCCAGTATTCCTACAAAACATATCAACAATTAAATTCATAAATCAAGGTCTCACAAATATTCGTTGAAAATCGTTACATTACGCAATTTTCCGTGCATTTAAATGATGATACAGCAAAACCACAATCTGACCATGTCTTAATAGATTTAGATTTGAAACGGAATGGAATTAGTTTAAGATCTACGAGTATAAATCTTTTTTATTTGCATAGATTTGAGCCGTGTCACGACAAAACCAACATAATGGTTTGCGACCAGAATGAATCCAGACCAGCCTGCGCATCCGCGCAGTCTGATCAGGATCCATGCTGTTCGCTTACACACCCTATTACAAGTAGAGAAACTGATAGCGAACAGCATGGATCCTGATCAGACTGCGCGGAAGCGCAGGCTGGTCTGGTTCCATGCTGGTCGCAAACCCACTATGTTGGTTTTGTCGTGACGCGGCTCATTTAAGCTTCAACAAATAATGTGCATCTTTCTTGTTACATTTGATAAATTGTTGGCCAGTTTAGGAAGAATATGAACAAATGGAAATAAAGAAAAATTGATAAAAGATAGCGTACGCACAATAGACAGGTTGTTATAGAAGCACCAACGACATTTTAAAACCTACAACATAAAATTGCACAGAAGTTTTAATATACAATCATCGGGGCATATTAAACGTAAAAACAAATAGGCAAGTTTAAAATTATAAAGAACATAACTGAACGGAAAACTACGGAAGGCATTAGTGCCAGGTGTATGTTTTTATTAACTCGAAATTTCGAGCTACTAACTCGAAATTTCGACTTACTAACTTGAAATTTCGAGTTACTTATCTCGAAATTTCGAGTAACTAACTCGAAATTTCGACTTACTAGCTCGAAATTTCGAGGTACTTACCCGGAATTTCGACTTATTACCTCGAAATTTCGACATACAAACTCGAAATTTCGAGTTACTTATCTCGAAATTTCGACTTAGTAACTCGAAATTTCGACTTATTAACATTTCAAGAATGGCCAAAGTTATTAGTTAGATGGTATAAGATATAGTAGGGACTGCTGTTGAACGATGGAGATGGAGAAACGGGTGCCTGGACAAAAACTATTGAAATTTAACTTAAACTTAGTAATGGCATGTACACACCCGACCTAAAAAATACAAGGCTTCCTTTAATTTGTACGTTCAGGCGTTCTTCAGACCTTGTATTGTATCCCACCTGTTCGAACATATCTTTTCACTAATCATATTCTTCTCATCCCTGTAAAAAAAACGATCCTATACTTCACGTGTGGGACATCTGAGGAAAGTATCGCGGCGTGGCCAAAATAGGGCGTGCTGAGGCCTTTGTCAAAATTGTTGGACTGACTATATTTCTTGTAAAATCGGATGCTTTTATATTATTCCCAACATAAATATAACAACAAGTAACACTTTTATCAACTGTTTTCAACAATATGGATCAAAGTATTAGTAAATAATGAATAATGTTACAAAAACATTATTAGTATAAAGAAACGTGACAGACTAACTGGCGTATACACGCCATTTAAAACTTATTTAATACATGATATTGCACAGTTAACAATAGGGTGGGGTTTGGACTTGTTGTTTCTCCACATGATGGTTGTATGTGTGCTTAAGAAAAAGAAACACCCAGTTTACACGGAAATGTGGAAAGTGTGATTTTACACCCCCCCCCCCCCGTCCACAAAAAAGCGAAGGATATGTTCAGTATGTGTGGACAATTTGACCCTATAAAATTGTTCTGTTAAATAAATGTTAAAGGTGCTCTGTCAATGTGCAACAGCTACACACGAAAGAAAGTATCTTGAATTCAATCCTTGCTTTCACCGGCAACCAATGAAAGTCGTTCAATGTAAGTCGAAATTTCGAGTAACTAAGTCGAAATTTCGAGTTACTAAGTCGAAATTTCGAGATAAGTTACTCGAAATTTCGAGTTAGTATGTCGAAATTTCGAGTTACTAAGTCGAAATTTCGGGTTAGTAAGTCGAAATTTTGAGATAAGTAACCCGAAATTTCGAGTTAATAAGTCGAAATTTCGAGTTAGTACCTCGAAATTTCGAGATAAGTAAGTCGAAATTTCGAGTAAGTAACTCGAAATCTCGAGTTAGTACCTCGAAATTTCGAGTTAATAAAAAACATACACCTGGCACTAATGCTCTTCCGTAGAAAACCGATATCTTTCATTACTTTTTTTTTCTTTGTACGTGTGCAATTTTTAACCCGATTTGAGTGTTGACCAATGATAAATAAAGGAAAATGGAGTAACCAAATGTTCAAAAAATATGCACAAAACATAAATGGACCTGACAAACATCAAATGGTACATATATCTCAAAATACTATTTCCAGTCCTGTCATGCCAATAAAACAACAACATTGAAGCCCCTTTAATATACACTAGTAAGATATAATTAATACTTAAAATGTTATAGATTGATGATAAAATTTAAAAACTTCAAAATCAAATCAAATGAGCTACTTTATGACACGTGTTTATGTTGTATTTGATAACATATCAAATTGTATTCAATTTAACCATGAAAATATCGAGATAATTTTTCAGATTACTTTATAAACGTTGTATCAGACCTACCTATATAGATTTAAAATGTTTGCGGATTTATATTTTGCGCTTAACCTTTTGAAATATACAAACACGAGAGATAGAAGATAACCTGTTCCTGGTCTCGAGTGTGTTTTAAATCGATATAACGTACTGAATAACTATAAAAACATCGGTGCACAAGTACAATAGTTATTATAGTATATTTATATTATATTATGTAAAGAATGTCATATGATACTTGGGCTTCACAATAGTCAATGTCACAGTGAATATCACGTATCGAATATTCTTAAAAGAGAAAATGATAAAGAAAGAAAATAAGGGTGGTAGGGGGGTTTGTGGTTTTATCGGCTAATACATGTATAAGTAAACACGATTACATGATATATGTGAGTTTATAAAACTGGGACATTGGTTTGTTTAAACGATTACATGGTAGAAAAGGAAAATTATCTTCCCATGAAAAGAAGAAGAGTCGACCGTACACTAATCGTACGCCTCTGTTTAAATGCAAGAGATGTGTAAAATCGGTGTTAAGTGACATCCACGTGAATTTGCTTTTCAATTTTAACATAATTCCCTAATGTAAAAAGCTCATGACAGCTGCAAATATTTTCTTGTACCTTATATTCATATTGTTACAGCGTTACAGCGTTGCACTGAAAAGTTTCTGTTCAGTATACATACTATACTGTTAACTAAAGATAAACATGTTAATCCATCGCTATACAGGGTTATTATAAACTTAGTTTCACTGTTTACTAAAGGTATATTTACTCAATTAATATTTAGAAAAAGAACGGTTTTAAAATATATGCAGTGCAGTTTAAAATTCAGAAGAAAAAAATAATCGAATGTCATTGAATTACATTAAAAATCTACATTTTTTTGTTATAATAAAATGTCTGCCAAAGTGAATTGTATTCTCTTTTCATATTGGAGAATATTTTTTATTTAATTGTCTGATCTGATCTGATCTTTTCTAATCTGTTCTGTTCTATTAAATAACTTTGAAAATCAATAGCTGATTAAAGTCTATTCATTTGTATTATATTAAATACTTAACATTATTGTTTCTAAGTTCTTCTTTACGATTCAAACCGGTTTTTTGAATAAGAACTAAATGACTAAATGTTTATTTTACTTTCATTCTACAACTTGCTTGACCTAATTGGTCATAAACTTTTAAAACATTCGACGACTTAAGTGTTCAACGGTGTACTTCAGTACGAGCTTTAAAAATTTAAAAGTACGATTATAAATCTATCAAAATTGTAATGATTTTAACGATTACTTCTTTAGTCACGATAGAAGTATATTAATATAATGTTTGGTAAAAAACAAAAAAATCTCTATACTATATAAATACCTGAAAAACTTGACAGCAAAATAATCGCAAAAAGTTTCGTGTCCTCCATTTTTATTTCTTATCTGCGTCAAAACAATGTAAACTTCTATCTATAAATAGATATTAGTACGGGTACGGTCTATTTAATATTGGTTATATACCCGTTACAAATCTATTGTTGCCGCCTTTCATATGACCGTATACAAATACTCCGTTGAAACAGGTAAAATGTTTATTATTATTGCTTGTGTTTAAACTAGGATACCTGATGTTCATTTATGCTGAAATTCTACTTCCTGTTTTGATAAAAAAAGATGTCAATTTTGACTACTACTACTATAATAATAATAATAATAATAATAATAATAATAATAATAATAATAATAATAATTATTATAATAATAATAATAATAATAATAACAAGAACAATATATAACAAGATAAATTATTTCGATTCTTACAAGACATCAGCTAATAAATGTTGGCTCAATTGGGACTTATTTGTTTCCGTACTTATTTTCAGCGCGTCGCATTTTTGGTGGTTACGTCACATGTTTATAGATTACTTCACAAATTTAATTATAGAATACCAACAGTGATTTAATTGCATAATAACACACACTTTCGGTTCTTCTATTATTCAAGGTCGTGTTAGAATATTATATCACGAAGGGGGAGTCGATTATTGATGTGGGCTACATCGGCTTAGTGTTTAATTTCATTCACTCCAGCTAGTTCCGTGTCAATAAAGTGGTTTTGTTTGGGCGCCCTCATGTTCAAAGGATTGTCCAGCTCGCATAGTTCTAGATGAAATAGGTGTCGCGGTTATAAGTAATAACTAGCAGGTGTATATTATCTTATTCGAATACAACGAATATTTAATTTAATTATAATAATAATAATAATAATAAAAACAATGTGCATTTGAAACAAAAGGGAAGGGGCACAAGAGAGGAAAAACCGCTGAACATATTGTCAGTCTTTCTCAAGATATACCGAAAGAACAAACTGCAGATCAAGAAGAATCCATGTAGACGGGTTTGATTTTCAGAAAAGACCCTCCAGTCTAACGGCATTTTTTAGTAAAATTAGGTAGTCACTTGTTTTTTAATAATACGGATACGCTGAATCCAATTTTTGCTCTACAACGGCTGCACTCGAAGATCTTGGCCTTCTAAAGGTAAAATCAAAATTGCCGCCATTGACCTTTACCATCTACTTCATGTTTTAAAGCTCATTGTATGTTCATTCATCTGCATGTAATTAAGTTTTAATTACTTTAAGGCATTACTGGTTAATATTCACACATGATTTACACATTTACTACTATGGCGGTCATCTTTAATAATCTCAAAATCGACACCATATTTAACAAATATAAGTTAAGTGCTTTAAAACAAACGGATCCTTCTGTAAGAATAATTATCAAAATATAATGATAATAAAAGCAACATGTCATACTTTGGTATTTCTTAGTGTAATTTTAGAGATTAAAGTGTGAACCAACTATTTTTGCATTATCCTAACAATTATGTTCTACAAAGATTAACAAGGGCGTGCCTTTTGAAACGTTAAGGATCCATGACATTTGATTTACATTCGAGGCATGGTTACTCTAAGTCTTACAAATCTTACAAAAAGAATAGAAACATAAAAAACATTTATTTATATTTACAGTATTTCTTATTTTTTTCAAAAAGCATCTATGAATGAATGACAAACATATAGACACAACCATCAATGTTCTAAATTGACTTATATAGCTGTTTACCTAGTGCTTAAACATTACAAGTAGTCCTAATGTACCACAAATGTAAGTCTAGTTATGCTAATATCCATCCAATGAATGACAGAATTCATGACCAGTCATAACCTTCAAAATATTTATATGAAATGAAATATGACCTTTAATGTCTGAAATGATGCAACAATTATTTTCTCACTCAAAACACGTTGTTTCAAAGTACAGTACTACGTATTTTTTCGTAATATGTGAACTGGACATGACCACCAATGCACTTTCATACCATGACTTTTGGCATTCAAGTGTGACCTTGGAACTTTCGTTCTCTACATGTCGTTTTACAAAGAGAAACATTTATGCCAAATATTTTGTAGTTCATCCAGTTCAATCGTTGACCAACTTTTTAGGCACTTTTAGAAAATATTTTGCTCGAGGTGAAAGCGTGATTTTTGTCTTTGATCTACATCATCAGCTTGATTTTACATGACTCATTCTCTCAATGTGCCAGATATCTATGCAAAATTGTTTCAAAAGGCATCAATTAATTCAACAGTTATAAACCGGTAATACAACATCTGTGTTGTAGGTTTCGCAGTGGTGGTGGTGGAGAATTGCAAGGGCAACAAACAAAAGACTTGTTGATTTTGGATAATATTTAATTGTGTCCAGCAGTCTCCGTGAAAACTGAAATAAATCAAAACAATTTATTACAATTTATAAGTTTAAAGTCAAAACAATAATTGCAACATACGATTGCCTTTTAAATCATGCCTTAAAATGGCGGCTATTGAGAACAATCGAAAAATGCAATAAAATACATCTGTTTACATCCGGATTATTTGGCATTGCTATCGTAATTAAAATAGCAGAAAACAGCAATCCGTTATTTATTAACCTCCTTGCCTCTCCATTTCCCAATATTTGTCGATCGCAGTAATTTATTTAAAATTAAAAATTACGACAAATTCGCCCAATAAAATATCAAATCATGGCGGAAAACAGTAAGGGATGTAACACTGCAAATACTTAAACAAGTATATAATCCGAACAGATGCCGTACAGATACCGTAACAACCGGTCACAACCATCTTTCACGTTTATATCATGATTTATGTTATAGAAGTTTAACTTTACCACAACCAAGCTGGCCGTGCTTTTGCGCATGACACAATTTTTTCAAATTACACATTTACGCGAAGTTATTGTCGTACCAGGACGGTTACATATGCAATTAACAAGATTAAACACTTTTTATCCGTAGGTCAATCGAAACAGAAAATTTAATACCACATGATAACAAAATAGACGAGAAAAGCCCTTATACAGAGACGTCTACTGAGCACGCCAACTGCCTTGTCTTGTCGGGCTACCTATATAAACAATTGAATTACTATTTTCATGCACAAAGCTCGACACCAGTTGTAGGCCACTGTGCGATAGTCACTTTATTACTCTTAAAAGAAGGAACATTAACTACATTGTTAAGGAAAGAGTCTATTCCATGACAAAGCATTTTTCGAACGCAAGCCTAGATAGCGATTCCTACTACTTTTGGAAATACTATGACTTGTTATTTAAATATCAATTCGTGCATGACAAACTGTTGACAAGGTTCCCTACTAATGAACTTTTAAAAATTTTCTTTCTAGATAGAAACGACCCTGACCTTTGGATTGTTGAATTGACTCTCAGGCACTACACGTCCTAGTACATGTTCTTGCGCAAATGACATTGACATAAAAAGTAACCAAACAATCTTCATGGTATCCCTGTTTGAACATTAAGTAATACTTTAAAGTGCATTATTTCCAAATCCGTTATCAAACCGTATATTTATGCTTAATTATTTCAAAATCCAACTTTTAATGACAGAATACTAAAATGAAGCATAATATTATATATTATTATTATTATATTATATAATGCTTAAATAATAATTTAAGAGAATTTTTTCAAGCACTTTCAAGTCTAAGTTGAAGCGTTGAGCTTCAAACCTGGGTCTTTCTTATAAGAAAGTTTCAATGCACCACACATAAATGCAATTTATTTCAAAATCCATCCAAGAATGACAGTTACGGACGTGACTAAAAAGGACAGATAGGGACAAGTTCTTACTGAATGACTTGTGCGGATGTCTTTAATCTTCATTAATGTTTCTTACTCTAAAACCAGCCTTTTTGCCTCCCATAACCAATGATTTATCCTAAAGGTCGTGCGTATACGGAATTAATCTCAACGCCAATATTGTGATCGCAAGTGACACAAGAGTACGCTCGAACAGATAGACAGACGGCTAGACATTGGAGCAGGTCCCCCTTCAGCGCGATACAAAACCATTTTAAAAAACATCGCAAAAATTTTAAAGAACATGTATAGTATTCTTAGAAGAATTAAAACATCTTAATGACAAAATGAACGAAAATATGACTCACATTTACATTGTATTACGGTATGAATTGTGACCTTTCGAACCATTAAGTTTGTAATTATAATGGATGCTTTTCAATGTCTGCGCCACAAATCTACATTGGTTATAAATAATTAAAAATTAAAGATATTTCGAAAAGCGCTGGGTAGTGTTATTTCGTTTGTGATGGTGTCGAATATGAACACGAGGTATTGTCTTATTTAAAATATAACGGATATGAAGGTTGATAAAATAATTACGATACTTTACGATACGATACGTTAAAAAGAGTTACTTTACACTTCTACGTTTTCGATAAAAAGATATTAGAAAAAATGTGACCTGTGCCATTTATAAGAACGTCTAGCAAAATATAAATTGTGTTTGATAAATACAATTAATAACTGGGGGATGTTTATTTCGTTACGAATGTCTTCTGTCTAGAGTACCAACAAATACTGAATTAACAGACTGCAGACGATGTCGTTTGAATTCTAGACTTATTAACAAAAGACAGCACACAAGTGATAACAGATTGTTTTAGAGCAGCTTTTATACGCATTTGTGCTTGATAACTTTAAGACAAACGAAAACTACTTGTAGAAATAATGGTTTCAAACAATTTTATTTCTTCTTTAAAAACATGTATTTATCTTTATTTATTATTGTTAATGTATTATTATTATTATTATTATTATTATTATTATTATTATTATTATTATTAAGTCGTGTTCGCAAACTGTATCAAATAAATGTAGAATTGTCCACAAAAGATATACCAAGATATAAGACTGACAATTCTTAAGTATATCAAATGATATTATCATTTCTAGTGGATCAAAAATAGCCGAATATACTTTCATGTTTGTTTGTTTGTTTGTTTGTTTGTTTCATTTTACGCCTTTTTTCCAACAGTATTTCAGTCATATAGGCGGGTAGTTTCCTAACCATCGTTCCTGGAGAGTTACACCAGTACTAGACTACCTTCCTCCGCGCTAAACATATACTTTCATACGTGCTTAAATGACG